TGGTATCTGGCCAATGGATGTTGAGTATCTTGCGTAGACAGCTATTTATAAATACTTGTACTTTCTTGATTGTGGTTGTTGTAGTTCTCCAAGTTTCAGCTCCATACAGTAGAACTGCCTTGACGTTCGTATTGAAGATTCTCACTTTGATATTGGTTGAAAGTTGTTTTGAGTTCCATATGTTCTTCAATTTTAGGAATGAGGCCCTTGCTTTGCCGATCCTTGCCTTTACGTCTGCATCTGAACCTCCTTGTTCATCGATGATGCTTCCCAGGTATGTGAAGGACTCTACATCTTCCAGAGTTTCGCCATCAAGTGTGATTGGATCGCTGTCCTCCGCTTTGAATTTGAGGACCTTAGTTTTCCCTTTGTGTGTGCTGAGGCCTACTGATGCAGAGACTGCTGCTACACTGGCTGTCTTCATCTGCAGTTGTTCGTGTGTACGTGATAGGAGGGCTAGGTCATCTGCGAAGTCCAAATCGTCTAATTGATTCTGAGCTGTCCATTGTATTCCGTGTTTTCCTTCAGATGTTGAGGTCTTCATAATCCAGTCGACCACCAGAAGAAAGAGGAAGGAAGAGAATAAACAGCCTTGTCTGACTTCAGTCCTTACTTGGAATGCATCTGTCAGCTGTCCTCCATGCACTACTTTGCACTGTAGTCCGTCGTATGAGTTCCGGATTATATTGACAATCTTCTCAGGAATTCCGTAGTGTCGAAGATGTTTCCATAACGTCCTCCTGTCTACACTGTCAAATGCCTTTTCATAATCAATGAAGTTTATGTATAGTGATAAGTTCCACTCAACTGATTGTTCGACGATGATCCGTAGTGTTGCAATTTGGTCTGTGCACGACCGATCCTTACGGAATCCAGCTTGTTGATCTCGAAGTTGGGCGTCTACTGCATCCTTCATCCGGTTCAGCAACAACAAGTGAGCGAGACTATAATTTATGGACGAAACAATCAAGTATAAGATAACAGATCTCAGATTTCGGCTTGAAATTCACTTATCCATTTGGCTAAATAAAGTTTTGGCATTATAGTTTATGTCAGTTCGTGATGAAAACCCTGAATCTAATTCTTAACCATAAGAATTAAATGTAAATCACAGTTCGAATTCCTTAAACTGGTTTATTATCCTCACTTGGTCCTAGGTATTGGGTTGACACTCTCAAGATCAGTCTAGAGTCTTTTAAAGGTCATCCATAAATTATGGTCTCACTGAAATGTTTCCTAATGTCTCGAATGCTAGATATGGTTTGTTGTAAAACTAAAAGGACCATGCAATGAAAATATCCATTGCCATGAATCATGCATAAACAACGGTAATACAGTTCTAATTATTTTAACTGTTACTAAACATTTTTTTCTCATAGCATCAACAAGCAGCAAGTATGTGCATATTTTATGTTATAATCTTATGACTCATCAAACTGATTGATTATACAACATAAACGAGTAAAAGTATGAGATGGTGGTTGAAGGAAGTCAACAGGAAACCCTTGACCTAGGCACTCGTCAACAGAGTTTACCTATAACCATGAGGGGACTGAAGCTCTTGATAGATTTGATTCCATGTCATCCACCTTCACAGTCAGAGACGTTACCACCAGACTATCCAGGTTGCGACTGACCTCCTGCAGTGATGAATCGATTATAAGTACATCTTAACCCGTCAGTGAGCATCAGTTCCATCAAGATTACAAGTACACCTTACTGACAAGCGCCAAGTGGTATGAAACCTAGGTCCAGAGATCCCTGTTGACTATATCCAACCATCATCTTATCACAACATAGCGAATGTAATGTCTAGTCACCTAGACTAGTGACCACATTCCAACTCAGTCTATAGGAATTAATCTGCACTAAGAAGAACTTGACATACATGACATTGATAAACATCCAATGATCAATCAATTGTGAGTAAAAATATTGATTCTATATACTTATTATTAGTGTTGTTTTTAACACTTGAATACATACTGACCTGATTAAGATTATGTTATTAAGAGTCAGTACTTATATTACTATTCTTGACCTTTGAATATATATGTATTGACCTACTACTTAATACTCTATTCAACAATATAATTCTTATGTATCGTATGAAAGTAACATTCAACTCAAACTTTTCACTAATGAAATAAATTGATAGTTTATAATTATGGATTGATAATAGTTAAGTAAAGTCAATTCGTATTACAGATTTAACTAATTCTGTAATAGTCTACATAATGAAAAAAGACAAGTTTGATCTGTAAAAAACCATTTATACTTATTCCGATTACTGAAGAGTCCCACAATAGGACGAAACGGCCATCCAGTGTTTCAAGGTTTTCAGTGGTAGTCTAACATCAATCAGTTCATGATCTCAATCAAAAACTTAATAATCTCCACAATCCTATACTGATAAAGATAAATAATTCCTTTGCTTAGTCTAAGTCTGTTATGGTTTTCCTCCTGAATTGTGTTTCCTTATTCTACCATAATGACCATCATTTGTATGAATGTTTTTTTGTGGGATAACAACATGTTTTCACTTTTTAAAAGATAAAAATATGTTGTGTTTTTTTTTGAAAGAAAATCTTATAGTTGAATTCATGAGTGAATTGAAGCTAGATCACCATGGGAAATCTAGAATCCCGCCCCATAGGATTTGAACCCAGGATCATGGATGTGAACTGTTGAGGAGTTCCATCCTAGGATGAAATTTATCTAATTTCTTAGATTCTTTCAGAATTTATTGTAAGATTTTGAATTGTCATCTAATGTTCATGAATCGCATTAAACATTGTAATACAATAAAGCTTACAATGACTTCATCATCATTCTGGGTAACATCATCAAAGCTTACTTTATGTGAAGGTTTCTACTCACAACCAGCTTTGATGATATAATTCAGAACAACAATGGAACTTTATTTTAATCCTGTAACACAATCTATTTATTTATTTGAACACATAAATATTTGTACAATAGGGGCACCGAATACATATGCGCCACACATGTCACTTGATTTGTGTGTAAGCTGTGATACCGCCACGGTGCCCAGACTGAAGCCGGCAGTTATCTTATGGGGTCACGCCCGGAGCCTTCGACATGAAGGTCTGATCTACGATGTAGTGGAGCAACGTCTGGAGATGCAGTCCCACGATAGCTGGTGATCAACAGTAGGTTCATACGTCATTTGTTCCTTCAGGATACTGGAGCCTATGTGCACCATTGGTTTGGAATCAGGATTTTCCAACTTCCCTAGATGGATCTTCCGTGTTCACCGAACCGGTTGAAGTGCCGGACATTCGTATCTCGTCCTCTCAATTTCGTAAGCAAAACCCCTTACCACTAGAATTCAGTGAGTAAGATTTCCCTGGCAGAAGCTCTATACGCGTGGCTATGTGAGAGTATTTCGAGAAGGAGAGCTGACTATCCCCACTCTCGGCCGTACCAAGGCATTTGGGGGTGTCTACCATATCAAGAAACAAACTCAGGACCATTTATCGTGAACAAATATCAATATCGGTGTTTTGAGATCAAATAATACCATCGATTTTAGTTTCTTTATATTCATTATTCTCTTTGATCAATCCTTTGAATAATAATCCTAGATCTTCATTATAATGAAAAATAAACTTTATATTCCGTTTACTAATTTGATTCCATGATATTTTATAGCAGAATTGAATGGTAAACATCTAGTTAAACAAATAAGTTTTGTATGAACTATCATAGTTGATCAAAATTAATTATTTTCATGTAGTCTTGGATTAATTTTTTTAATCTGATCGGCCTTTTTTTTTCTAGCAAGATCTTTTTCTACGGGATGAGGTCGCCGACCTCATACTCAACTCTCCTCCTTTAACCGGACTTGGAACCGGAAGTAGTTGTAGAAGTGCTGCAGGACGAGGTTGGATGGAGAGTGCTGGTGAGCGGCCTATGCTCTTAGACAAGAGGTAACAGGCGTAATTAAGTGATTCTTGAGTTAATGCATACGAGAAAGTATCTGTTAGCTGTTTCATGCTAGTTTATGGCTCTTTGGAGGAGTAGATCGTAAACCCTACCAGTGGCCGGTCGTTTATAACTCTACTAGAAAGTTCTGAACATAAACTCTGTGTGGAAACCTAGTATATTGCTAAACACCTGTAGATTATAAGCAAAGATAGATAGTGGCTAACAGTGGAATCCAGGACGCTCGTTTTGTCCTGCCCGGGACCCATCAACTGGATGTACCAATAGGAGACTGATCAATTACAGTCCTAATTATCAATGGGAAGATTCAAGTAAAGTAATACGAAGTGAATCTCTATATTAGTTAGATACAATCATTTAACACTCGATAATTTAAAGTTAATCACTATGACAAAAGATCTTTTCATTGACAGGTTATTATTTATCTTTCAGTATGTATGTTCACTATAATCATCATATGCTCACCAGTGCCTGGCATCAAGAGTTATCTCCTGGAATTCTAGTGAGAAGCCGTGATCAGTGGAGACCAACCCGGTCTGTTGTGAGATAGTAACTCACTGATGACATGGTGGATGTGTCGCTCAATTTCGTGGATTAGTTAAAGTCAAACATTAACACCTATGGATGCCAGCTGGCTTAATGGTTTAGAGGTTAAGCGTTACCCCAAGACTGATAGGTCCCGGGTTAGAAGCTTCCGGGGCAGGGTCGTTGATGTGCACAGCTGAGGAGTTCCATACTAGGAAGAGACGGTCATCCAGTGTTTCCATATTTTTCATGGTAGCTTAGCTTTAATTGATTCATGATTTCAATTATTAAATTACTACAATCTCTAACCAATCAAAGAAACTATAATGAATATAAAGTAACATTTGAAATTTTACAATTACCTGATTGGTAACAAGTATCTTAGTGATGATTCCATCAATCATTGTAACTGATCATACTTTAATTGGTTCAACTTATTATTATTATTATTAAAGATGATAGAATGGTTTACAGATTGGTTTGAACCTAATAGATACATTAAAACAATGAATCGTATGAAAGAATATCAATTTAATAATAAAGTCTTATTATCATTCATTATTATATTCAGTTTATTTATATGTACTGCACTTCATTTCACTTATTGGAATGTGGATTTTACAATGTATTCACTAAGTACAATGAAATCCATGGTAAGTTATATGATGATAAAGTAATAGTTAATAAAAAATATGTTTATCATCAGAGAGGGATACTTATTTATATTATAGTAATTTCAATAGTTCAGATCATGAGTCAATTGAAGCTAGACTAACATGAAAAACCTGGAAGTATTGGATGGTCGTTTCGTTCTAGTATGGGACTTTCCAGCAGTGCATATCTACAATCCCAAACCCGGGACTCGAGCCTAGGACATTTGGTTTGCAAGTGAATGCTTAAACTCTAGACCACTGAGCTCGTATCCAACTGTGTTCATGTCTAACTTCAACCAATCCACAAAAATGCTCGACTATCTTCGATTGTCTGAGGTAGATATATGTCCCTACCTGACATCGATTGGCTCCATTGATTATGACAATTTCGTTGATTGGTTGAAGTTAGATATTAACGAGGTTGGATGCAAGCTCAGTGGTCTAGAGGTTAGTCGTTCGCTCGTGAGACTGAAGGTCCTGGGCTCGAGTCCTGTGAGTAGGATCATGGATGCGCATTGCTGAACAGTCCCATAGTAGGACGAAACGACCGTTCAGTGCTTCCGGGTTTTCAATGGTAATCTAGCTTCAATCGACTCACGAATTCAACGATTAAATTTTTTTTAGTTTATAGAAAAAAATTCACATCATTAATGTATTGGAACCTAGAAACAAGATAATATCTCACCGTCTTATACTATCCAGTAGTAGTAGTAGTAGTAGTGCACTTTTAAATTATGATCAAAATAGTAACGTGTGCTTTTAATTAGTTCAATTAATATATACATTCAATTTATTATCAGGTTTTGTGGAGATTTTTACTAAATTGATAGTTGAATTTATGAGTTTATTAGGGCTAAGCAACCATGCAAAAACCTGAAAGGACTGGATGGCCGTTTCATTCTAGTATGGGACTTTCCAGAAGTGCACATCTACAATCCCACTTTGCGAGATTCAAACCCAGGACTCATCAGTTGCGCGCGCGAGTACGTAACTACTAGGCCAATAAGCCGGCCAGGTTTCCATGGTGGTCTATCTTCAATTGACTCATGATCTCAACTATTGAAATTACTATAATATCTACAAGAACCCTTCTGAGAATTTTTTGGTGAAACTCTACTTTATGGACGACCTTTGAACGAATTTTTAAGTGACCTTGAGAACATTGGTCAATCAGAAGAGAGTTAGTATAAAGTAAAAATATATTATAAAAAAGTGATGAATTACAATGGATATTCTTCTTTTACATTATTTAAGAACTTGTTGAGGTTTGATATAGGTTCAGAAGTTTTGAAATCATAGTGGATGCGGTATAAGAACTCGTCCATATGACTCCATAATAACCGTCCTCTGGAGCCGTGGTAGGAACTTAAAAAATACTTCAGCCTAGACCACACGCCCTCAATGTTGTTTGTATGGACCCCCGTCGTTGGATCAACAAAATGACGTTTGTGCACCACAACATGATGCACAAAACCAAGTCTGGAGAGGCATCTATACACTTTCCAATCATCGGTATAGCCGCAGCTAATGTTACTGGAGACTTTATGATCCAGTTTGCAACGATTATCATGGTTTGTCTTAGCCTTAGCCGTGACCGGGCAAAAAAAGTGCCAGTTCGAGCAGATTTTTTTCTACAACATATAGTACAACGAAATACAATGTCATCGCGGCAGTCTGCACATCGTGCTGCGGTCATTTAATTGCCGCAGTCACAGACACAGGAGCTTCTTAATAGTCCTATCTGCTGTAGTCTCTCAACGATCACCTATTCTCTAAAATCTGTTGTAAAGCGATCGAATGTGAGCATCTGGCATTGAACTTAGCGCCGTGAACTTGAAACTCCTTAGACGCTTCTGATTGGCTCGTCCATAAATTAGAGTCCTACCAATTTTTTTTGTTTTAGGAAAATAAAATTCACATTGTGATCTTATATGATAGTGATCGAGATCTACAATATTTGAATAGTCTTCTGAAATCTATTTTCTATCATCAAAATGGAAGATTTCGATGTGATTTAAAAGCTTGTTGTCTATCAACTTTTGTGATCGATTTATGAATGATTGTCAAACTGTTATGAACAATGTATCAACAACATATACAACTGTATTTCATTTCTTAATAACGACGATTTCATCAAATAGTCAGTTGTTGAATTGATGAATACATGGAAATTACATAATATGGAATATCATTTTTATAATTGCAGTAACTATTTGGTAAGTGTTCGCATACATTATAACTAATGATCCTTAATCATAGATTGTATTGTTCATACCCCTAAGTACAGAACTATTTAACAGTTGTTTCATCTTAATATGAGATTAGTGTAAACTAGAGGAATGGTTCATTATCTGATAAGTCTTCTAATTGAACGTTAGATTCGGCATTTATGATTTTGATTTGAGACTGTTCAAACCGCTTTTCTTAACGCTCCATATAAGTATCTAGTTGCTCCAAAGAAATATTCATTATAGTTTTTCCCGTCGCCATTGATAAGTTTTCTAATTGAATGTTGGATTCAGTTTCCTAAGCTCTTCTAGTAATTGCCAGGCTAAATTTACACAGCGACTTAAACACGAAAGAAAATGTGCGAAATATGGAAAAAACGCTTTACTCCAAAGGTTCGTTTACCTACAGAAAATCTAGGATTTTAGAGTATTTTAAATGTCCTAAGGGTATCCGGGAAATTCTGAAACGCTACTAAACCTAGAAGCGGTATATATAATCATCCAATTCAAAACTCGACATGTGACATTTCACTTTCTAGATGTTTCTGGGAAAACGTCAAGTGAATGCTAATTGGATAAGATGGTTCTCAATGTTTTCAGAGCCTTTTTTGGCATTTTTTCGCTAAGTGTTTTCTGGATCTCTTCAACAATATCTTCTCCGTTGATTGGAATTTACAAATTTATGTCAATTTATACTTATTGAATAAATATACTGTTCACAGTAGTAAGGTAATTGTTTGAATATTTAAAGTAAAGTTCAGAAATGGAGTTATGGCCATGTTTAGCCACAAAAGCAGTAGGTCTCAACATATATAAAGGGAAAAGCAAGATTCTCCCACACAACACAGCATGCATCAATCGAATCATACTTGACGGAGAAGATTTGGGAGATGCAGAAACCTTTACATATCTGGCCAGCATCATTGATGAACACGGTGGATCTGATGTAGATGTGAAAGCGCGGATCGGTAAAGCAAGAGCAGCATATTTACAACTGAAGAACATCTGGAACTCAAAACAACTATCAACCAACACCAAGGTCAGAATTTTTAATACAAATGTCAAGATAGTTCTACTGTATGGAGCGGAAACTTGGAAAACTACGAAAGCCATCATCCAGAAGATACAAATGTTTATTAACAATTGTCTACGAAACATACTTCGGATCCGTTGGCCAGATACTATCAGCAACAACCTACTATGGGAGAGAACAAACCAGATCTCAGAGGTGGAGGAAATCAGGAAGAAGTGCTGGAAGTGGATAGGACACACATTGAGGAAAGCACCTAACTGCATCACAAGGCAAGCCCTCATATGGAATCCTCAATGCCAAGGGAGAAGAGGAAGAATAAATAACACATTACAACGAGAATTGAAGACAGACATAAAAAGAATTAACAAAAATTGGATAGAACCAGAAAGGAAGATTTAGTACATAGTGGGTTGGAGAATGCTAGTCGGTTTCGACAGATATACAGTACATATCATCGATAAAAAGTGAAATGCCTGGAGGAAGAATGTTAAGAAGATCAAAGACAACACAACAATCTCTATAACCCTATAGTAATAAAATGTTACTATTATGTATTTTGTTCTGTGTACTGTTTTTGTTTTTTAGGCAAATCTTCAGTGGATAAGCTCTAAACATCCTGCAGGTGCTAAACCATTTTTAAAATTAATGCTTACAGAGATACTACCAACTAATATCAATAAAGTAAGTCCCATTCTTCACTCTTACTAATAATCTACCAAAGATAACGTATGGATAAATGAAAAATAGAAGGGGTGGCGGACGGTAGGGATTTACAGAATCGTTTACAAAATATTTTGATTATGTGTGAAAGCTAATGGTTGAGATCACCTTGAGATCACCAAGTTAACATAACATTTCTATATTTGAATGAATTCATGTAACCACGAGAAGTGTAATGAATATTAGCTATGCATAATTGTTATGTCCTTTGATCTATCTACCCACTTTTGGCGCTGAGGATACTTAGGTAACTCAGATTAAGGCCTTGGCACGATAGGCTGACCGACCTAACTTTGAGGCTAGTACGCGTGAGTTCGAAGTGGGGTAGAGAGAAGAAAACTATTCTATCTCCTGATTGGCTGACAAGCACACGAATGAGAGAAGACAAGACAACTGGAACACTACTCGATCGATTCCTGATATCTTGATTCCAGTTCAGTTCAGTTCGGATTAGTGCAAAAAAGGTACATGAATAAATAAGTGAATAACCCGACCATAACGTACCATAATTAGGAAAAATACAATTATGTCCAAAACTGGGAATTAGAGTAGAAAATAAGGTGCAAAATATTATGTTTAAATTACAATAGCTTCGGAACAGAAAACGGTATGGCGATGAATCATACATCGAACGAAAGTTTATGTTCTGTAGAATAGATTAGGGACAAAAATCAATGTCAATGTTTTACAAGCTTCGAATAAAATAACGTCCCGAAAAATAGCTTTCATAGTTTTTCAGGGCTTTTTGTTTTCCTGTTCACATCAGCACTAGAAGATTGTTTCATCCTGGAGTGAGATTCCTCAGTAGTGCCCATCCACGATCCTGAATGTGAAACCCGAACTCGGAATTTATCAAACATACCTCTCAATTTTAATATTCTAACTTGCATAGCAGCACTGAACTATAATGATATCTTTCTTGATCAAATGATAATTCTGGTAAAATTAGATTTTATGAATATGATTGAGTAATATAAATATTTTCTAGTAACTAACCACTTCTAAGTTAGTAACATCCAAGTGAAATCAAAGATGTCTTTGATTAATCTTCCAAAACAGTCAAAAATACCCTATTTCAAATGAATTTGACATAACTCATGTGGTTCATCTGCTACTCTCCAGCCCAAATGGACGCTGACCGTTACACACACCTACGTGGAGTGGTGTTTGAAGCGTCAATAACGATTCGAGAAGTAAGAAAAATTGCTTAAAACATTCTGAATCATAAATAACATTTCGAAGCTTCTAGTCAAACTTTAGGAGGATATTAGGTATACATTTTTGGTTCTGATTAGGAAGTTATAAAGATAGTCACTAATTTTACCATTTTCTAAGTAGCTACATATTTCAATAGTTGACATCGTGATTCAACTGAATCTAGACCACCATGGAAAAGCTGAATGCACTGGACGGCCGTTTTTTTCTTAGTTTGGCACTCTTCAACAGTGCGCATCCATGAACCCACCTTGAGAGATTTGAAACCAAATACCTATCGATCTCGTAAGCGGACACTTAACCTCTAGACCACTAAGCCGGTATCCAATGGTGTTAGTGTCTAGTTCACAAAACTGAGAGACTCATCCACCATCGTCTATGTATATATTCTCAAGGTTATAAAAACTCTCATATCTTGCACATAAACCAATTGTTAAATTAAAATTCCCTATCAACTTCTTATCTGCTATTTAGGTGTTCAATATATATTGTCAACTATAGTGTACATACATCATTGTGAAATTCTTCTTTAGGTTATTGTACTTGACAATGATATACTTCTTAACATAGATATTATTGAATTATGGAATCACTTTGAAAATTTCAATGAAATTCAGGTTTGTTTATATCAACTTAAATCTTTGTTATTGATGAATAAGTTTTCTCTATAGAGTATTTTAGTCTTAGTATGGCATCATAAGTATAATAAGCAGTTTGTTTGAAGTTACTGTATAACGATTTTATGTGAGTACAAGGCTTTTTAGAAGTAGTGATAGTGTGGTGTGTGCTACTTATATTGACATAAGTAGTATATGATGTTAGTCGTGAACAGAAGGTCTGGCAGCAAAGAGATAAGAGGATCAAACAGTAAAGAATGGAAACAGGATGCAATTTGTATGAAAATGCAAGAACAATGAAGTCTGAGTCACTTTAAGACAATTGGTGGACATTTTGCAAATTAAGCATTTACATTATGATTGTTAGATTTTATTAACATGTCCTGTGAGTTTGTGTTAATTACATTCGATTGTGCCCACTGGTGTTCTTGTTCACTGCAATAGAACCTAGGGTCTTGCGGTTACACACAGTTACTTGATGCAACAGATAGATTATTAGAACTGTAGTTAAATTCAAATTTCATCTTAATTATATTCTACATAAACAGCATAGAAAAATATACTACTAAATTTCAGTTACTAGTAGTCTGTTAACTAAAGTTTCGATGATTCAAGTATGGTTTCACTAAAGAAATATGGATTATACGCAGATACACAAAATATGTTAACATTCGAGTGCCTGAAATTCCATCCTGGCACAATAAAAACAAACATATACAAGCAGGTAAACCTTATATTCATGATATACTTGAGTAGAATTTCACCTATAATCAGCATATTCTGTCAGCTTCATTTGAAACATCCGTTAACATCGATGTTTTATCATTACTGAGATGTCTTTTTGGTTATAAATATATATAAGTGATCTCCTTCGAAATAATCAGCAGTTAAGAATCTGTACAATAACTAAACCATAACAGTATAGTAGTGAAGCTTTAAATTCGCTAAACACTTCAGGTAGAAGCATTTTTTTCAGAATAATGGAACTAGTGTAATGCAATTAAGTAATTGCCGGCTAGTAAATTGATTGAGCAAGATCTAGAACTCATTTAATTCTAGAGTTATATCGTTAACTACAAAGTAATATAAATGAACTTCATGTGTTATTCTTGAGTGGTAGTTTAAAACTTTATACTTCCTTCTAATGATTTACGTATATTCATGGCTTTTTTTCAAAGAGCATAGGCATTGGATTAGAACAAAATCCACATTTTCAAGATGTTATGCCAAAATTAGAAAGTAACTGGGAAGTAAGTTCAAATACATTGAATTATTTAATTTTGAAATGAATCATTTATTAATTTTTTTTACAAAAAAACCAAACTACTTTTTATAGAATAATAGTAGCTTCAAATGAATTGCATAATTTTTCCTTGTTTACATCAGATTGTAGGGATAAATATGAACCATTAGATGGCTTATAAAAATCATTGAATTTAATTTCCATTAACCTATGAGTTAAAATATTTGTCGTCTTTAGCTAATTCTTAATGTTGTTTAAATTCAGTCATCAACTTGAAGTTTGTTGTTTTGCCTAGTGATAAGTAATCAACAAATGTATGGTACTACTTGGTACTTGTATACGAATGTGTGTATCAACAGTACTGAGAGATCAGATATTCCTAATAGTATATTAGTCTACTTCTTTGTTGGAATCTCTAGAATACAGTCGTCAATTAGTCCGAAGCTACAACAATACCTCAATTAAGTATTCTTTTTTATTGAAGAAGTTACTAAATGAAAGAATTTAGAAATGACATTTATTTATTTATACACATGAAAATTGGTTCAAAAAGGCACCAACTACATATGCACCACATAAATCATTCGATTCACATGAGGGCTGGGATGATTCCCCGTTGCTGAAACTGAAGCAGGTAGTTTTCTCAGGGAGCCACACCCCGAGCCTTTCACCTAACGCTTTAATCCACAAGTTAGGAAATGCATTTCCATAGTAGCCGGTGACCAATAATATTTTCATACGCTATGTACACCATTGGTTTGGAATCAAGGTTTCTCAACTCCTCTAGGTGTGTTCTCCGTGTCAACAAACCCTGTTAAAGCATCGGACATTCGCTTTTCGTCCTCTCAATTTCGTAAATAACACCCCTGCCGCGAGAAGGCAGTGAGTAAAACTTCCCTGACAGTGAGTGTATGCATGTGGCGATGTGAGAGCGTTTCGAGAGGGAGAGCAGACTATTCCAACTCCCGACCGTACCGGAGTATTTGGGGGCTAAACACTAACTTTCAAGACAGGCATACATTTGAAAACCAAAGATTACAGTTACGCCTGTTACTCAACATAGAAGAGCATAGGCCACCCACAAGCACTCTCATTCGACCTTGTCCTGAACAGTCCTTTCCAGGTCCTTCCAGTTGTTGCTATTCATCCTTTTCATATCCGCTTCTATTTCCCGACGTAATGTGTTCTTTGGCCTTCGTCTTTACCGCTTCCCTTCAGGATTCTGAGTTCGCGCTTGTCTTGTGATGCAGTTTGATGATTTGCGTAATGTATTTCCTATCCATTTCCATCGTCTTTTCCTAATTTCCTCTCCAGTTGGAAGCTGGTTTGTTCTCTCCTACAGTAGGCTGTTACTGATGGTATCCGGCCAACGGATGTTGAGTATCTTGCGTAGACAACCATTTATAAATACTTGTACCTTCTTGATGATGGTTATAGTCAAAAATTACAAGTGATGAAAAATATTATTTAGCTATTTCTGTGTAAAATGTAATCAGTTATGTGTACAATATTTATTTTAGGGTTACGGGTATAATAATGGTGTACTATTATTCGATTTGTCTAAAATACGATTAACTTTATGGAATGAACTATGGATAGTTATAACGAGAAATGCATTGGATACTCAAGGTTACTTGACAACTGGAGAGCAGGTAATTTAAAACTGTTTACAGTTTTACTAACTCTAGTTTATATGATTATAAATTTCTGAATTCAAAAATTTATCTGTAAACTTTTGTTAAGTAAATTTTTAATAGTTGAATTCATGGGTCGATTAAAGCTACACCGCCGTGGAAAACCTGAGGCACTGGGCGGTCGTAATCGGGCCTTTTGTGAGATAGTAACTCACTGAAGACGATAGTAGACGGTGCCGCAAGTTCATGGATTGTTTGAAGTTAGACATTAACACTGTAAGATACTGGCTAAGTGGTCTAGAAGTTAAACGTTCACGCGCTAGACCAGTGGGTCCTGAGTTCGTTTCTCGTGTGTGGGATCATGGATGCGCATAGCTGAAGAGTGCCACACTGGGATGAAAAGGCCGTCCAATTCTTTCAGGTTTCCAATAGCGGTCTAGCTTCAATTGACTCATGATTTCAACTATTGAAACTACTATAATATCCATAAATAATTATCATTTGAACACTTAAGGAGACACTGAATACACATACGCTACACAAGTCACTTGATTTGTGTGTGGGCTACGATACTGCCCGGGTCCCCAGAGCGAAGTAAATGGTTTTCTTAGTAGAGCCTTCGACCTAAAGGTCGAATCCACAAGTCAGTGAGACAACGTCAGGAGATGCAGTCTCATGGTAGCTGGTGACCAACTATAGGTTCATAATCATTTTGTTCCCTCAGGATCCTGGACACCATGTGCATCATTTGTTTGGGATCACAGTTTACCAACTCCCTTAGATGGAACCTCAGTATCCATCAACTCGGTTTCATCCTGTCGATTTCTCCGCCATGAGAAGACAGTGAGTAAGACTTTCCTGGCAGAGGCCATGTGCGAGCGTTTCGAGAGTGAGAGCTGATATTGTTGGGAACGAGAACACACGAGGGGTGTGACAATCGAACGTGATATAATACAAAGTTACAGAACATCTAAGTAAAATCTGAGAACCATACAGTAAATATTTCATTTGCAAAATGTCAATCAATCGTTTCAGACTTCATTGTTCTTTCTTTTCAACACCAATCATTTTTTTGTTTTCGTTCTCATTTCTTCTATCTTCCTAACTTTCTGTCTCCAGACATTTCACTTTTGATTAATGATACATACTACTTATAGCGTTTTTTAGCGAGTTAGATTTCTACGGGATGGGGTTGCTAAACCCATACCTAACCCTCCAACTTTATCCGGACTTGGGACCGGCAGTAGCCACAGAGGTAGTCCGGGCGGATTTATATACTACTTATATCTATCGACATCAGTTGCACATAACATAATATAATACTTTAATAATTGAAAAGAGCAAGAACAAAGATTTTAGCAGAATAACATGAATTCATTTTATTTCGTAGGTTCTCGTCAGCTGCTTACAACCTGTGATATTTAAAAATCATAATTGCATAATGGATTTAAATTGCTTACTGAATATTGTAAATATAGACCTAATGTGAAAGAATATTCTACAACACTAATTGTGACAACAGTTCAAATGTGGATTAGAAACGATTGACTACATAATGAATAAACATTGATGGGAATACAGTGAGTAAAGGTCAGTTGAAAGATTGTTAATTTGAAAGATAATTGAAAAAATAAAATAGAATCAATGATGTAATAATGCAACAGAAAAAAGAAAAAATTTTTAAGGTGCAGTGTAGGAACATTTGTCACCAGGGCAAGTGAAGATTAACCACCGTCTCCTTTTGAATACATAGATCAGGTTTTTGACGCCTGATGGCAATGGCTTCAGCGAACTTCAGAAGACTGGTGTTTGACTGCTTACCAATCACCCTAAAGGATTGTAAGGTATCTACCTGATGTCCTGTATCAAGGAGATGTTTGGTGATTGCACTGTTCCGAGTCTTTCTTTCCTTTGTTCTAAGACTTTTTGGAACATGTTCAAAAATCTAGATATGCTCTCCTTTCAGTTCGGCCATCTAACTGCTTTGGCAGGTACACGTAAATTTATAAATACAGTTGGCGGTAACATGAAAGGGTTGCTTGTCGATCTTTGATAGGGTTATTGAACATGTTGTTTTATAGAGAATTAAAAGTTTAGCAGCCGGATAAGTTCTGGCTAGCGCTGTATTCAGTGTCTTGTTGATAATTTGTGCAACATCATCACCTTTGAAGTTAAGACTTATAGTTGATGATTTTGCTAACACAATCAACCGGAGACTCAATACTGCGCTAGCCAGAACCTATCCGGCTGCTAAACTTTTAATTCTCTATAAAACAACATGTTCAATAACTCAATCAAAGGTTGATAAGCATCCTTTTCATGTTACCGCCAATTGTATTTATAAATTTACATGTACCTGCCAAAGCAGCTACATTGGCCGAACAGAAAGGAGGGCATATCTCAGATTTTTTGAACATGTTCCAAAAAACCTCAGAACAAGAGAAAGAAAGACTCTAAGTAGTGCAATCACTAAACATCTCCTTGATACAGGACATCAGTTAGATACCTTGCAATCCTTTGGGGTGATTAGTAAGCAGCCAAACTCCAGTCTTCTGAAGTTTGCCGAAACCATTGCCATCAGTCGTCAAAAACCTGACCTATGTATTCAAAAGGAGACGGTGGTTAATCTTTCCTTGCCCTGGTGACAAATATTCCTTCACTGCACCATAAAAGTTTTCAAATTAATAATCTTTCAACTGGACTCTACTCACTGTATTCCCATCAATGTTTATTCATTATGTAGTCAATTGTTTCTAATCCACATTTGAACTGTTGTCACAATTAGTGTTGTAGAATATTCTTTCACATTAGGTCTATATTTACAATATTCAGTAAGCAATTTAAATCCATTATGCAATTATGATTTTTTAAATATCACAGGTTGTAAGCAGCTGATGAGAACCTACGAAATAAAATGAATTCATGTTATTCTGCTAGAATCTTTGTTCTTGCTCTTTTCAAAATGATAAAGGGAACTATGTGTATGAAACTTTAATAGTTATTCGTTTCTTACCCATTTTTTTAGGATATTTTAAACTTAATATTATTCGAATTCAAATACATTCTATATGAGATTCCATGTGAATGGAATATTCAATTAAGTGAAGGAAGTGATGAACAACGATGTCCTGTAAGTTGGTTAACTTATACCGAATTGAAAAAACGTAATTATTCAACAATTTTTAAACAACCAAAGCTCATTCATATTAATCATCTTATTAAACCAAATGATATATTACTGAATGAAATCCCAATTGAATACATTGATTACTTGGATATTATCCTTAAACGTAAGTAAACGTATAGTTAAATACACATTCTTTGATAAACTTCATTTAATAGTTGAATTCCTGAGTCCATTAAAGCTAGACCACCATAGGAAACCTGAAAAAAATTTTAGTGACGTTACGTCGTACTGTGGGACTTTTCAGCAGTGCGTACTCACGATCCTTCCCATGGGAACTGAACCCATGACATCCATTCTTGCGCGCGAGCCTCTAACCTCTAAATCATCATGTAAAATACAGTTCGAACAATTGGATGACATCAAATAATAAAAGTATCAATTAATCTTGAAAGAAAAAGCTTGCAGAAACATAAAAAGTGAAGAGATCAATTCAATAGTTATATAAAGGACTCAATATATTTGATTAATGGTTAATGTATAAACACAAGATTCATGCATTTCAGTTTACAGTTTATGGACTCATGGTTTTACGTTAGCTGACTTAAGACGTCTTCCGAATCACTCCTATCTTGTCCAACCAAAAGAGTCCCATAACTGTACTACCTTCACTAAATATCGGCATCACTTCCACGGGCTTTTAGTGTATGATGGAGATGCTTTAAATACATCCGTCAATGACTATTGACGACCGACTTTCTACACAGATAGACTTAGTTTTACAAAGCATTCTACGGTTTACTTACGCTTTCATTGATAGACAAACACCTTACATGAGCCTTTCCTACCAACCAGAATCATGTTTACCCCCCTGGTTTACTATTTCGTCTATCAATCGTAACCGAAGCCTCGATCAGTTATACACCTCAAATGGTATGGTTTAGCTCGGGTTTAAGGCAGAGGAATCCTAACTCCCATTAATCAGGAATGTATTTCGATTCCCTATCCTCTATTCTTCACTTCATTGACAAAACATAACAGTTAAGCTTCTGTTATTAAATCTCAAGCACTATCTATTTTAAACATCAATTAGTTCATATACCTGAATTATCAAATTGCAACGCACTCCAAATATGAAGTCACACTTTACACACAATCATTCCATTATTTATCAGTATGGGGTTGTGGAGATTATTAAGATTTTGATTGGTATCATGAAACGATTGATGTTAGACCACCACTGAAAACGTGGAAGCACTGGACGGCCGTTTCATACTATCTTGGGACTCCTTAGCAGTGCGCAATTTCGTGGTTGGACATTACCACCATTGGGTACCGGCTCAGTGATCTAGAGGTTAAGTGTTCGCACGCAAGACCCCAAGCCCTGGATAAGAACCCCATGAGCGGGATTGTGGATGCGCAATGCTGATGAGCCCCACACAAGGACGAAAAGGTCATCCATTGAATCCAGGTTTACAATACTGGTCTAGTTTCAAATGACTCATGAATTCAACTGTAAAATTACTAAAATCTCCACAAAACGCCTTTTGATAATAAGTCTATTTTTAGTTATATCTAATGTAATAAAAAAACTGTATTTCTGATGTTTTAAAGGTAATAAATAACTGAATTAAATTAATACATTCATTTGTTATCGTTTACCTGAACCATCCCAATGATGTTTAGGACTACAATTGATCAGTCTCTTGTTGACATATGTACATGTTGTGCGTATTGGCCATATATTGCCTTAATTCACAAACATTATAAGCAGAGATGGATAGCAGTAAAATCCAGGACGCACGTCCCATCCTATTTGGAACTCGCCATCTGGGCGGACCTACATCTCAGATAACGGTACTGGGTTCGAGTCTCAGAGTGAACATCAACCTTGGGATGTAGGTACATCCAGTTAAAGTGTCCGAAATAGGATGAAGTACGCGTCCTAGTTCCTAATTCACTGAATTGTTTCAATGAACAATAAATGAAAAATACTGTTCAATTGAACCATACCTCGTCCGTTAGATATTCATGTTTTACCCATTTAAATGAATTATGTCTATACTTCGAAACAATAGACCACAATATTTTGAAGCATTATTTTCACCTACCATGCTATCACTGACTATAATTACATAATCATGTTGATTTTTACTGAATTGTAATTTTATTTGAAGAGTGGGAACTATATGGCAAATTCGTGTCAGTATACCGTCAATATACTCAATTACATGAATCATGCTTCCAATAGATTCAATTCAAGAACCAATCAGTTTGATGTTGATCTTTCAATCATGTAGTTCATGGGCTATTCTTTGTCTTCAATCAACAGAATCTATTATCTTTTATTTTTGTATTTATATAAACACACTTGAAATAAATGTGGTTAAAGATAACATGAGGATATTCTAAGACTATTTCTATCAAATTGTGTGTATCTACTGAATTGATGAAATACGATCGTTGAATAAGATGATTATGGAAAAAGGTTAAGCTTACTGAATAAGACATGGTGAAAGAAAATAAGATTTTGTCATTAGTTGAACAATCAACTGAATGGATTTATCACTATGCATCAATTTCCTTGATAATGAAAAAGAATGTAGTAGTATGGATAGAAGAACTATAAAACGTTCTTCGACATTATTATGTAAACGTGGAAAACGGCTGCAACATACGAAATCCATGCGATGGATAAAACTGAAATGTCGCATATGGAGGAAGGCTGACAGACGCATTTCAAGTGAGGATCAGAGTCAGACAAGGCTGTGTATTCTCGTCATTCCTCTCTTTTATCAGATGGTTGACTAGATTACGAAGACATCGATATCTGAAGGGATGCACGGAATAAAATCGACAAATCGGAATCAATTACAAGATTTGGACTTGGCAGATGACCTGGCCTTTCTATCCCATACACATCAACAAATGAAGGTTAAAACAAATAGTGTAGCTGCAGCCTCTCAATCAGTAGGACTCACCATACACAAGGGTAAAAGCAATATCTTCAGATACAACACAAAGAACACCAACGCAATCACACTTGATGAAGAAACTCTGGAAGGGGTGGAAACATTCACGTATCTGGGTAGCGTCGTCGATGAACAAGGACGATCTGATGCAGACTTAAGGGCGAGGATTGGCAAAGCAGGAACAGCATCCCTACAGTCGAAGAACACATGAAAGTCAAAACAACTGTCAACCAACATCAAAGTGAGAACCTTCAATACGAACATCAAGATAGTTCTACTGTACGGAGCTGAAGCTTCCAGAACTACCACAACCATCATCAAAATGGTAAAAGCATTAATAAACAGCAGTCTATATAAGATGATCAATGTCGTTGGCTAGATACCATCAGCAACAGTATATTGTGGGAGAGGACAAACCAGCTTCTAGCTGAAGAGGAAACTAGGAAAAGTCACTGGAAGTGAATACGACACACATTGAGGAAATCATCAAACTGCGTCACAAGGCAAGAGCTTACTTGGAATCCTGAAAGGAAACGAAAAAGAGGAAGGTCAAAGAACGCACTAAGTCGAAAATTGGAATCACAAATCAGAAGGATCAATAGCAGCTGGAAAAGATTGCCCATGACAGAGTTGGATAGAGAATGATGGTGGGAGGCCTATCCTCCTTCATGAGGGGCAACATGCGTAAGTTGAATATGATGTAAATTATCCATTTATTTTTGACTTCAGTCAGCTTTAGTTAGGTTAGCATTATTTGAAGCTGCATCTCTGTCATTGAGTTGCTCGTAATCCAGTTATCAGACTATGCAATCAAAACAAGGTATTCAACAAGATGTAAGCATTAGAACACCATAAGTGCTTCATGGTCAGGTCTAAACAAACATTTTAAAACAGGTACATTAATAATCAAGCTTACTTCGGATCTTTAAACGGTATCTTGATAGCTCGCGATCCCAAATCTGGTAAGATGACCATACTGAAACAGGATAGATTATACATTAACTTTACGTTCATTGTTGATCCGTCAAGTTTGAAGAAATCGCTGTCGTGTGAATCCTCCTTACGGAAATGTGGACCCCATAAACCTGTCAAAGGTAATCACACATAAAGTTGACAGCAGATATAAAACACAGTGATAAAAAAATAAAAACTCAGGTAATAAATGTTTGATTTGAATATACTATTGTTGACGACTAAATAAATAATACTACCTTTAAAGTATGTGGTGGATAGCACAACAGCTGACGTTTCTTGCGATATAGCCACACGTGGGATCAGTTCCTGGATTGTTCCGTTGGTCTGTTCACTAACCCACTGATTAATTCGATTTCGAGCACATTCAGGATCTGTATGAAACGCAACCTACACAAAGTTTGATAAGGCAGAACTCATACTCACATGCTCAGTCAGTGCATTTAATGCTGCTTGATGATATTTCTAAATCGTTTCTCAATCTGCACATCTTCATTTACATAGATTCTATTTCCAGTGATTATCTCAACACTCATCAGACTTCGAAAGATCAGCCAGAAGTTTGTAGCGTGGCGTCGAGTTTAGATTAACTGTTAACACCGCTACCAAGAAACACGTGCCAGACAAATCAGAAGGCGTAAGAAGCTCGTTCCAAATGACTCCATAAAATCCCCGAGAAGCCAAATATCAGAAGGCAATTAATGGACCAAGTCGAGTTATATTTGCTGGCGATCTCGTGGCATCGAAAGGATACCGAGATCGTGCCAGGATACAACCTTGGTTACAGAAGGTAACCGAATTCGCGCGAAGTTACAATCGAAGTGTAAGCGAAAGAATGGAAGCACAAAATAGCTGTCATTAGCACAGTCAAACAAAAGCACGTTAAAACAAACACTGGTACAGTTGGTTATAATAATAATTGTTTTTATTAAACCAGTCGTGTTCTCGTGATAAACGTGAGTCACTACAGGAGCCCCCCGCTAGAAAGGGTTTACACTTTCGATAAATAGCGGTTTGAATCGTGGGACTGATCGGCTGACGAGCGATTGTAGGACGGAAGAATTGGCGAACAGGAAAGCGATCGTTGATCGTCGAGTTGCCAACGAAGGTCGTTTTCGGAGAACGGTACCAGGAGCGATGTGTTGTATTTATTGCTTGAGTTGGCATGCTACACGAAAGTGGTTTGTATCCAGAATCTGAAGATTGCGTTCGTAGGGTGCGGACCAGAAA